AGTAAAATAAAATGCTAACTGGTACAGAGTACATACAGGAGTTCTCTATAAAACACAATTTTTCTGCAAACTTGAAATTATTTCTAAACAAATGAATAAGTGAATAAAGGGGCTGGAGCAAATTATGAATAAATCCTTATTCTAGGATTCTAGAAAGATGCAGTCTCACTCTGTCACCTAGGATGGAGTACAGCAACACAATCACGGCTCCCTGCAGGCTTGAGCTCGTGGGTCTCAGCTCATCCCTCCTGCATTACTGGAACTATAGGCATGTGCTATAGCTCTGTCCTTTATAAACGTGCAAACAACATAAAGGAGGCACCAAGCATGCAGGCGTAAGGAGAGAGTTCTGAGGGCTCACTGGTGGATGAGCAGTGGACACGTGGGAGAAGGCATGTCTCTTTCATCAGGTCTGTAAGTGGAAAGTCTAGTTCTGAGATAAACATCTGCAGTGGTGGCCCAAGGGAGAGGCCTGGCTTCAGCAGTCTTTTTCACTTTGCACAACCCCCTTCCTTTCCTTTTCTGACTGAACAAAGCAGTGGATGACTATGGCACCATCAGAACCCTGCTCTGCCCTCTGCTCATCACTCAGGACCAAGATTCCCAACTTTCAGAGGAAAGGAAGGGTCCATGTCCTGTCTTCATCCTTAGTTCTTACTGGTGATGTCAACTAAGAGCACTGTTGGATGCTTTCAGCTTTGTCTTTTATTTTCTCTATTTTTTAAACTCTCCTTTCTCTGTTAGCTATTCCTAATAGTTATATAATCTCATCACCTATAAAATTCCCTCTATGTGGGCTTCACCGGGTACCATTTTCTACCCCAGTGATAGCTGGATCTTCAAAAGCTGAATCTCAAAGTCCAGTGATCCAGTGGTGAAGGAAAGACGTTACCCAAGCTTATGTGCCCTTGGAGCTAAGGAAACTAGGTATCTGAACATGATTTATTGTTGCAAATGTTTTGTTTTTTCCTTTCTTGGGACATACAAGAATCACAGATCAATGTTAACAGTCTTCCAATTATATGAATAAGGAGTAGATATAAAGATCTCCTCTCCTGCCATGATGCACTCCTGAAGGGTAGACACTGTGCCTCACTCTCCCTGGATTGTACAACACTAGCTGTGATGAGTTCAAGAAACAAAGCCAAAAGCCGCACTGCCACCTACACACAACTGTGATACAGACACTCAACCTGCAGGTTGCAAAGTCAGCAAAACAGAGTGTTCCTTCCCTTCAGCTCAACCAGCCAGTCTAGAATCATTATCTGTTCTTATTATTTGTGGAGAAAAAGTATTTAAAAAGTCAGGGGAATAGTTTACCTGACCTTAAGAAAGGTCTTTCTAGCCTTTCTGATTCTCTGAGGGTATCTGGATAGTGTTCAAATAGATAGATACATAATTCAAAAATACAGAAACTGTTTTTTACAAACAACAGTTGGGAATACAATGTAAACAATGTAAGCCTACAATATAAATGTTTCCAATGAAAATGCAAACAAATAGGATTACCAGGAAATTCAATTAAAGCCATTTGACCAACGCCAACACGAACGAATTTCTGCCTAATGTTGCTGAAACAATGTTTAGAAAACCAATGTCACTAACTTTTGCGGAACTGACTGAGAATCAGCTAAATAGATCCCCAGACCTGGCAGGAGGACAGGAGAACAGAGGACACAGTTTCAGGAACACAAAAGCAGGGCCATCAGGGAAGCAAATACACTTGAGGATGGGGGACATGAAAGAAAAGTCGGAGAAAGGGAAAGGCAAGTGTAATGTGCAAGCTACAGCTCTTTGTCTCCAGACGTCCTGACAAATCTCAGATGGGCACACTCTCAGCTTTCTTCCCACCCTACTCTATATCTCACCAGAAAATGTGCAACACAAGCTGTTGGAAGGAAAAACCGAGGATTCAATTGCAAATTGCCTCCCATGGCATCTCTAACATGTCTGAAGTTTTGCACGGGTCTGTAGTAAAATCCCAACAAGCTTGGACAGAATAAAATATCCATGAAAAATGGATTTACAGAGTTACAAGTTTTAGACAAATGGTTGGAGCCAGGCTAACAATGAGGAACTAAATTTTCCTCTTTGGCACCACCGAGATGACCGTGTAACAAATTTGTATTGGTGGGAAGACTATTTAAGCTAGAGCCATAAATACACAGCAATGAGGAGACGCTTCCTCTCTGGCTGACATGAATCACTATATGCAATCTAGTGATTCTTTCAAAGACCACTGAAAACTGATTTCCCAAAATTCCAATTGCTTGGTGAGGTTTTTCTCAACCTTCCGAAGAATGAGAATCAGTCAACATCAGTATAGAGATATTTGTACTAGGAAAAAATGTTTTTATAGTCAAGTCTATTAATATCGGTTTATTTGTAGTCCAACTCCCTGAAGATGGCAAAGAGTGGTACTGGCTGCCTTCTGCAATGGGCTGGTGAATTCACTGTCAAGATCAAGAAAATGCCAAAAGCATGTAACCAATTCTCCTTGGAATACAGAAAAGCTGGCGAGAGAAAGAGTTCTCAAGTCAAAAATTTTAAAGTCAAGAGTGTGAGGGAAAATAGCACAGCACTTCCACAATCACTCGGTCCCACAGTGTCCAGTTTATGAGTAAGCTTGTTGTTTATTTTGAGACATCAAGGGAAAGTCTCAGGTGAATGAACGTTCTCCATTGCTCAACCAAAAGCCAGAGAGAGCAACAAAACTGCGTAAGCTTCTCAGAGATTTCCCTGGACTGAGAACTGCTATGGCACATGCTTTCAAAATATGTCTACAAATTCTTTGAAAGTGCTCCTATAAAGAAATAGAGTCTAATCACCCTTCCCTTGAATAATGAGTCAGCCTCAGTGAGGAATATTAGGTTGGAAGTGACGTGACATGGTGACTTCTGCGGCCGGTAATGAAAGGAGATGCAGCATCCTTCCAGCTCTCTCCTGAGATGCTTGCTCTTGAAATGCCACAGCCACACTATGAGGCAACAGCCAAGTGGACGGGCCGTCTGTTCAAGCTGATGGTCCCAGCTCAGGTCCCAGCCAACAACCAGCATTAACCAACTGCTTTCATATGTATTACTTCAACCATGTGACTGAAGAAGGCTTCCACAAAATTCCAACTCTAGCCACTATCTGACTGTAACCACAGGAGAGACTCCAGGTGAAAAGCATCTAGCCTAAGCCAATCAACTTCCAGAGCCATGAGAGATAATAATAATAATCAATAGATGTTGTAGTCTTAAGGGATGGGTCTGTAAACTATGATCTGTATGTATATTCTGCAACGTGTTTTTGCATAGCCCATGAGCTAAGAAAGGCTTGGTACATTTTTTAAAGGTTATAAAACAAAACAAAACAAGGAAAAATATGCAACAAAGACCATATGTGGCCCTCAAAGCCTAAAATGTTTATTCGTTGGCCCTTACAGAAAAGGTTTGGCTACCACTGTCTTAAGTCAAGTAAGTTCTCAGATGGTTTGTTATGCAGCAGCAGACAACTGGAACATGTGGTGCCTTAGGGACATAGTGGGAGGGACTGAGGGGAAAATGCTACATCTACAGTGCCAGAAAAGTCGCACTGAAAGGTTACATCTGCAAGGCAATACTTACCTTCCAATAACTCTATCATACAGTACTACAATTTCACAAACATCCCTGCTCAGTCACAGCAAAAGTGATGTTAATGTGATTGATTACCCAAGGAAAGTATCTCAAATATGTATCTTACATTTGATTCTAGATTGAACTCCAGGTTCTGAGATACTCATTAGTAATTTTAATAATAGGAAGCATTTACTGTCTTTTGTTATCTGCCAGACATTTTTCTAAACTGTTTTATATGTATTACCTCAGTTAAGCCTCATAACAACTCTTATTTCCATTTCACAGATGAGAAAACTGAGGCACACAAAGGCAAGCAACCTGTTCAAGATCAAGATTTAAGTGGGGAACCAGGATTTTAATCCAGGCCTGACTTTTACATCCATGAACTGGAAATAAGGGTTGTTATGTTATGGTGACCTCTGTGTTCTGCTGCTCCTCTCTAGAAAATGCCTATGAGGTTAAATCAAGGGATGGTAAAGAATGCAGCTGGCTTCCACAGGGAGGGGACCCATTTGCCTCTCTGGCCAGGCTTTCCTGGATGCTCTCAACCTTGGAATTAAGCCTGGAACTTCTCCATCCATTTCCCCCAGATCTAGGATCTTCAATAGCACTAATTCTTCTGTTGAGGGAATCCAAAGTTCCCAGACTAGCCCCAAACTCTGGTTGGTTAAAGGCTGTTCCTTCTAAACCATCTAATACTTCCAGGCATGTTTACTCTGGTTTCTGTCAATCAACACATGAAAAATTATGCTTGCCAAAGAAATGAACGTCATCAGAGACACAATACCCACTCTTCGTTGCCATACCTTGGGTAAATAAAACCAACAGACTGATTAAGAGCCATTCAATATCAAAAGGACATTCAAATCTCTGTCAATGCGAGTGGTCCTGGAGAGTGCAGCGAGTATCACTTTCCTTATCTGTGAAGTGGGAGTGAAAGTATCCATCTTCCTGATTTGTGGTATAGACAGGGCCCAAGATGTGAAAAGGACCTAATCTGCTGGCTGGCATTCAAGTAATGGCTATAATTATTGTAACACGGAACATGCCTCTCTTTTAGAGAAATGATGATTGGCCAAACGCTTTTCATTAAAAAGCTGTTAATCACGAAGAAAGATCCCTATTCATCAAAGAAGACACAGAATAAGAGTGGCTGCTTGCCCATTGGATTACACATATTCCATCTCCCACTGTAATAAGCCTTTTCCATACTGAAGAGTGTTGTTTTAATTATTTATAAAAATGGCTCTGTCATATTTTTTTCTCCTATTGCACTTAGCATGAATAACTGGAGACCCACATATAGAAAGAAAGGGCAATCCTCTGACAGCAGCCAAGTGCCAAGTCTACCTCTGGGCACTGACCAAGGGCAGGGCACATGGCCTGTCTACTCACCAGAAGGGAAAAATAATGAGGCGGCTGATGAAAAATAAGACGGAGAAGATGAAAAACAGGGCGTTGCAAGTTTGCCTCCATCCGGCATAAGAAAACATCTTAGCAGACTGCAAATAAAGAAAGAAACAGCATTCAGATAAAATGAAAGTAGTATACATTTTTAAAATTAAACATTTATAAATGAAATGATCTGATTTCTAGGAATTGCTGCAAAACTATCTTAATGGAAAGTGGGGGAGGGGTACAGATGTGGTAGTACATTACACAAGATGGGTCATACTGATAACCGTTAAAGCTGATGGGTCCATTATACTATTTCCTTTATCTTACCATATGGTTCACATTTTCCATAATATTATGTTTTAAAAAGATGCATTAAGATGACTGTAATATTACTCTTGTCTTTCAAAAACTCTGTAAGTTAGCACAGTCAATTTTAGTGTGCATTTTATTCTGGGTATTTATTTAATATCTTCATTTACGTGAGAGGAGACCTGAGTTGAAGAAAGGTTAGAACAGGTGTGCTGTATTGGGCTGGGCCGGGATGGGAATGCTGCAAGCAACAGGTCTACAAGTGAAAGCGGTGGAGTCAGGAGGCAACTTTCAGGTAGAAATAAAGTTGCAAGCACTTGATTTTTCCTGCTTACTTTCCGCTAGTCTATATTGCTCATACTATCTGAGCTGAAGCAAAACAATTACAGAAAGTATTGTGGAATGGTAGTAGAAGGTTAATGGATGCGAATTCTCTACCGCATTATCCAGTCGAGCCCAAGGTTGAAGGGGAAGGTTTCTGGTGAGAGGTGAGGGTACGACATGGTAGGAGTTGTTGGGGTACAGCTTATCCATCTAGGAGCTTGGCTTAGACTTGGGCTGCTTTAGAACTTACGTCACCCTGGAGGCTAAAGGTCCTTTTAAAACAAAAGTGACAACATATTTACCCTTCAGGAAGGGCTTACATGGCATTTTCCATACTTTGCCACACTTATCAAGGGGAGTATAGTAAGATTGGGGAAGGAAGTTGTTGCCAGAAGGCTCACAGGGAACAGCTCAGTTGCTGACACAGAAGGCTGGTGTGCCTAGGGGACAGGAGCCAGACACAGGGAGCAAGGCCAGAGTTCACAAATGCAATGGAGCAGGCAACTGTGGAAGGGTCAGAGGTCAGCCAAGGATACGTCTAAGTGTGGGAGGGACTTCCATAAACTCACTTATGAGGGTAAAACCTACGCACAAGACATTCTGGACTATATAATGGTGAAAGTCCAGACACTCACCCCTTTCCTTTGCTAAGTTTCAGTCAGGACATTGTTAAAGTGTTAGGTTCAGGGTCCACTATGTGGATAGTCAGAGAGGATCAGGAAGATGCAGGAAGAAGCCAAAGGGTGCATCTGAGTGGGAATTGTAACTGTCGAGACTCTTTTTCCTCACAAAGAAAGAGCTAAGAAATGACCCACTAGCTGTCTTGAAAATCTGAAAGTTTAATGGGCTCCATCTCAAGGAAGCAGGGGACAGAAGTTGTGCCATGTCTGGGTTCAATTAGAACCTGACCAAGAGGACAAACATGAAACAAACCATGCAGAAAAGTGGTGGGAAATGCACCCTGAGAGAATATCGAAAAACAGGCCGCTGCCACCACTCAATGTTGCCTCTACCACCAGCTGGTGGGAGGTACCAGTCCTGCTCATTGAACCTCAAGTTAGATCACGACTTGGAAATCAAGAATGATTCATGATCGTTGACAAAATGAAGTTGTTCTTACAATTTCCCCATGAAGGGACCTCTAAGTTTGACATTTAATTTTTCTTGTTTTTTTTTTTTTTAACCTAAGAATCTCAGAACATTTTCAAACAGTAATGAGCTAAACTTCACAATCTACCCTAAGGAATATATATATGACTTCTCATGTTACAGCTGGGCATAGAGAACAAAACGATAAGTGATTTGCCTAAGCCACTTAGGGAGTCATGTCATGGTGGTGATTAGGAGGGTTGGGTGGGGACAGTCTAGTGTTTGTTCCCAGCATGAATGTCTAACGCCCCTTAAACAGTATAAAGACACTGTTTGCACATTGAACACACAACAAAGGCCATTGAACATGAGGGATTAGAAGCAAGAGGGTAGTATGACATTCTTAAGTCAGGGCCAATGTGGTCTTAATTTTCAGTCAGGGTTACTGAGATACAGTCAGATAGGGAGGCAATTACAGCAGAGATGACCCTGTTCACAAAGCACCACATGAAACGCTGGCACAACCCTTCTTTTGCTAAGTGGTTTGTTACCCTGAAGCATATTTAATAATCTTGACCTTTAGGAGGGAATTTACATGTCTAATTATGTTTCATTCCTTACATACAAGGTAGAAACAAAATTCTGTATGCAGAGAACATTTTACAGTAGTCATTTGCTTTGAAATGGCTTCTGGTTATTTCTACAACAGGTCTGGCAAATTACCTTCCAGACTCTGGGCTAAAGCTGATCAGCCCTTAATGATAATTTTCACATTTTTAAAAGGGTATTTTAAAAAAAGAAAAAAGAAAAAACAAAGAAGAATATGGAACAAGGATCATATGCAGCCCACAAAACTGGATTTACTATCTGGCCCTTTACCAAGAAGTTTCCTGACCCTCAATCTAGAAGAACAAGATTCTATTAAATTTAATTTCTTCCATATCAACCTATAGTCAATTATTAGCCTTTTTTTTTTTTTTTTTTTTGA